TGTGAAGGGAATAGGGCGCAAAAAGCCTTGACAGGAGCCGGATTGTGAGGGGTTCTAAATGCCAAGCTAAGCAGTTTTTGCTAGAGGCAGAGCCGCCACTAGAGGGAGCCACCAAAGCCTCGTGAGATGACGTGGTTAGACCTGAGCTTTAGGAGAAATCACCTTGATCTTTGAGTGTGGAATGAATCAGAGCAGAGAGAGGCTTGAGGCAGAGAGGCCAGGTAGAAGAGCCAGAGGTGATGAGGGCCTGTCCTGGGATGGCAGCTGGGAGAGGGAGAGCAGGGTGGGGACGTGGGGTGCTCTGGAGGTTGGCAGCATTCACAAGACTCAGGGGCTTCTTCCTGTTATGTCTTTCAGTCACCACTGCCACCCTGGCAGAAAACGGACACATCTCGCCAGGGGCCCTGTTCCTCCTTGCCAGCCGTCTCCTCTTCATCCTCGTCAGCGTTTACTACTATTACCAAGTGGGCCGGAGAACCAAGAAGGCCTAGTAGCCCTGTCCCTCCCTGGGCAGAGGAGGTCAGGGGTGGGGTGGCCTGCCTGTACTTCCCTGGGCCAGGGCGACATTCAGGGGTTTTATTTTTTGGTTGTCTTTTTCATCTACTAGAGGGGGTGACCCTCTCTTCCTGTCCCCAGACCTTGACTGCTTGGCTCCTGGCCCAGGCAGGGAGGTGGTTCCCTGCCTTGGCTCAGTGATTCTAGACCGAAGAGTTTTCATGTCCTAACCAGCCTAGGATTGGAGCCGACCTTGACCCTGGGCCAATGTGTAGCCACTGGCTTTCTTCCTGAGAAATCTCCCTAGGCCATGACCAGGTACCTGAGACTTCCCAAGGCAGGAATAGGAGCGGGTTTAGGCTTGAGGTCTTGGAAGTAGCAGTGATACTGTGGAAAGAACACTGGATTTGGAGGTAGAAGACTCTTGAGGTCAAATCCTGGTCCTCTTTTTTATTACCTGTGTGATGTTGGCTAAGTCACTTAACAACTCTGAGACTCAGTTTTCTCTTCTACAAAAATGAGGAGATTCTACTTAATGATCTCTAAGGGCTCTTTCCAGCTCTAAATCCCATGACCTATGAGCTAGATGAAAAGACCCAAAGTCCCTGGGGATAAACAAAAACATCTCTTTGTACTGGGACAGACTGGATGTGGCCTCTGTAGGGGCAAAATGACAGGTCCACCTCTACCCTTTGGTGGATCTCCAGCTTTTGGGCTTCTGCTGGTCACTGCTGCTGAATCCCTGAATCTCAGAGTTGCAAGGGACCTCAAAGCTTATCCATTTCAAGCAACATAAGGACTTGAGACCGGGGAATGGAGGAGGGAACAGCCCCCTAAATGCGGTTACCAGAGACCCAAGCTCAAGGGGCTGCTCCTACATCCTTTGGAAGCCAAAGCCTGCCCCAGGGATGTCCTCCTAAACTCTCTAGAAGCCTCAGCCTGAGTTCAGATCCAAGGTTTTCTCCTTGTCCTTTCATGGCTGACTATTCCAGGCATTCAAATGCAGTCTACCCACACTGCCCTCGTCTTTCCAGACAGCTCTATAGTAGAACTCTTGGTTAGAGACCCCTTTTGCTCATGAGCTGTCTCACTGACTGTCCATCCTCTGAAACCAAGCCATTAGGCTTCACTCCAATCGCACCCTTAAATTGTTTCTTGGGATCAGTGGTTTTGCTCTTGCCAACCTATGGGCATGGGTTTGCAGATGGGTCACTGGGCTGGACTGTCCAGTGGACTGTGAACACAGCTAGATGGGACCATAACAGATAGGAACAAGTCATTATATTGATAGGAAATGTCCCTTTTGGAGGGTTATCACCACTTACGAAGATGGGTAGTTTCAGGGGTAGGTGAAAGATGAAAAAAAAAGGGATGCTCCTCTGTTTTCTCCCCTCTGCCAGCTGAGAGACTCTAGGGTCTACCCCAAAGCTGCCCGAGGGTGAATTAGACCTTGTTTGGGAGGGGCCAGTATGCTCTTTGGGATTCAACTTTAACAATGGTCCCTCTGGACAGGGGACTGCCATGTGAGCATTGGCCCAAGGGCTCTCCCCAGCCCCCAATCCCTGCCAGTATGTAGACCACCTCTTCCTTTCTCCTCCCTCACCCCAACCTTCCTCAGCTTCCCTTACCCCTGTTCCATTCTCTGGATAGGGGCACTGGTGAACCCCATCTCCACCTCTACCTGTCACTGACAGGTTCCTGAGTCTGAAACCATTTTGTAAATAGTAGAATTAGGAAATGCAAAAAAGAGGAAGAAAACTCCCTTCATTTTTGCAAATCGCAACCCTCCTCTTTGTTTGCCTCCTGGGAGAGCCCCTTCCCCTGCTGGCTCAGCTCTGACCCAGTGGGCAGCAAAGCCCAGCTGCCTGCCTTCCCTCCCTTTCCTACTTTTCAAGCCTCTTTTCTCATTTTTTTTTTTCATGCTTCAAATGGTGCCTTTAGAGCAGGAAATTCAGAAACTCATGTTCTATTCCAGAAGGACTCAAACGTCGCGTGTGTATCTTTGTCTTTTTTTTTCTTCCTTTGGGTGTTGCAAGACTTCGTCCTCTGAATCTGATACCTCAGTAGCAGAAATAAAAAAAAATCCATTTGGTCAAAATTCTGCCCCCTACATCCCCAGATTTTCCCCCAAATAGGGCCAGCCTGGGCCAGAAGGGCAAACCCCCTCCCCCAAGATTCCTCCAGGGCTAGAGGCTCTGGAGAAACAAGCTGGAGAGCGGCTTCCTTCTGCCTGCCACGACCTACTCCTTTGGTTGCTCATGTGGTTGATGGGGCAGGACCTGACAGAAGAAGACAGCCTCACTGCCTTAGTCTCTCTTTGGGTGGGGCGGGGAGGGGCGAGGCAGATGAAGTTGTGTTATGGAAAGGGAAAAGCTATAACTATGATTATGCTTCCACTCCTAGGTGTGTGCAGAGTGGTGTTGGGGAAAGGGAGGGTGGATGGAACACACACACACACACAGAGTTGCCCAAATACACATAGGCATACAATAAAGGCACAGGAGTAATCCCTTATTGTAGAACATAGATTGTCAGAGCTGAAAAGGACAATAGAACACAGAATGTCAGAACTAGGAACCTGTAACATAGAATGCCAATTAGAAAGAACCATAGAAGATAAAATGTCAGAAATGGGACTTTAGAACATAGAATGAATGTCAGCATTGGAAAGGATCCTAGAACATAGAAAGCTAGACTTGGAGTGGACTTTAAAATATAGAATATTATACCTGGAAAGGACCTTAGAAATGTAGAACATAGCATGTCAGAACTGAAACCTTACAAGAGAGGCGATCAGAGTCGGAAGAGACCTTAGAACACGCAATGTCAGAACTGGGACTTTGGAACATAGAATTTCAGATCTGGAATAAAATTTAGAATACAGAATGTTGTACCTGGACTGGGATCTTGGAAACACAGAACATAGAATGTCTGAACATTCCTTCAGAGGCATTGAAGGCCTTTTCCATAAATGGAGCATGTCACCTGGGACAGGTAGTGTGAAAGTTGTTCCTTGTCCCCCATCATCCCCCATTTCATGGAATCAGTTGATCATATTAGCTTCTGTCACCCATCAAGGCATTAAGGGGTTGGGACACAGTAGTTTGGTAAAAAGAACCTTGGACTAGAAGGCAAGAGACTGAGTTTATATGGCCTCAGGCAAATCAATTCATCTCACCATTCTTCAGTTTCCTTGGTCAAATTAGGGGGTCGAACTGGATGGATTTTAAAGTCTTCTAGCCTTTAGCATTCTAGGTTCTTAGGTTCCTTCCAGCTCTAACACTGTATCTTTGTTCAAAAGTCCCTTCCAGTAATGACATTCCATGCTCTATATCCTATGAAGTCCTTTCCAGATCTGACTTCCTATGTTGTAAAGTCTCTTTTGGTTCCAGCATTTCTGCATGCTACAATCTTACTCTAGCTCTAGCATTCTATGTTCTATGTTGTAAAATCCCTTCCATTTTGAATATTCTTTGTGGCTAGCACCTTCTAGCTCTGACATTCTATGTTCTAAATAGCGGTTCTTAGTCTGGGGTCCATGTACTTGCCAAGCGATAGATTTCAAGGGCATCTGTGAACTTGGATGGGAAAAACAATTACATCTTTATTTCAGTATAATTGGTTTCTTTTGTAACACTATGCATCTAAAAACAGTATTCAGAGAAGGCTTCACCAGCCTGCCCAGGATGTCCATGACACTAGAATCCCTGCCATAAGGTCTCTTCTACTACCAACATTCAATGTGCCAAGATCTTTTCCATGTGGGACATTCTGTATTCTGTGGTATAAGCTCCATTTCAGTTATAATATTCTATTTTCTATATTGTGAAGTTTCTTCCATTTTGACTATTCTATGTTATAAGGCTTCTTCCAGCTCTGACATACTTTGTTCTATATGCTAAGGGCCCTTAGAGGTCTAACATTCTATGTTCTAAGGGCTTTCCAGCTTCTCCATTCCATGGTCTAAGATCTCTTCCAGCTCTGACATTCTGTATTCTAAGGAACCTTCCAGTTCAGATATTCCATGTTCTAAGCTCCCTCTCAGATGTGACATTCCATGTCCTAAGCTCCATTTCAGATCTGCCATTTTGTGTTCTAAGGACCCTTCTAGTTCTAACAATCTATGTTCTAATATCCCTTCCAGCTCTAACATTTTGTCCTAAAGACCTTTCCAGCTCTGAGGAGGGTTCACAGGATTGCAGATTTAGAGCTAGAAGAGGTCTTACAGGCAATGTACATCATTTTACAGATGGAGAAGCTGAGGTCTAGAGGGATGAAGTCTTTTGCCCAAGGACCCACAGGTCCCAAGTGAGCATCAGAGCTCGCATTCAATCCCTCTCCCTCTTGACTCCAAAGCCTATTTGCTTTGTTCCAAAGCCTCTTTTCTATTCCCCCTTGCCTCCTGGACACATCTTGTTTCTAGCCTGAAGGACACTCCCTCCCCCTACTTTCTATTTTCTACTTCCCTCCCCCTTCCCCAAGACTCCAAATCAAAAGCAGCCTGATTCATGGTCACCATTTATGTATGCAGTTATTTATTTATTTTTTAAGAAACAGACACAAAGACTGGTGCAGAACATTCAATGCGTGTTCTGTTTTATATTACAAAAAAAACTCCCCAATATAAAAAAAGCCTGATGGGAGGGAATACATGATAAATTAGCTCTGCTATCTACTCCAAGGAACATTTACAATTTTCAAAATAGACTTTCAACGTATTTCACGTGGCAGGAGACTGGGCTGGGGGAGGGAGGTTGGGAGGGCCCCGTTGTGTTAGGGCCTCCAGTTAGATAATGACAGAAAGAAGGGAAAAGGGGCAAGTCAGGATTGGGGGGAGTGGGGCAGGGGGATGATTACTAAAAACAACCAGCAGCAGCAGCTCCGGGCCCTGGGCCTAGTGGGGACCCCCAGAGCCTGCCCCTACCCTTCCCACCAAAATTTTCCTTTTTTCTCCAAAGAGACAGTAGCTTGTGAAAGGGGCACTGGTTTCTAACACAATTGGCAGCCTATGCTGGAATTGAATCTCCCACCAACCCCACTCCCTCACCCTCGACTCCCATCCCCCTCTTGATAGGATTGGTTGAAGGCTCATTTGAGTATGGGAAAAGCCAGGAGGAGAGGAGAAAAGCTTCCCATCTGCCCCACTCTGAATCTGGTCTAGAAGGGATACCGGCGTCCCCCCCCAAACTCCTCCCTGCACCCCTGAGGAGCTGTCCTGGCTCATTCTAGGGTCTCATCCTGTTTCCTCAGAAAAAGGCTTTTGGGTCCTCCCTGCAGCCTCTGTTTTCCTTTCTTACCAGGGCCCTTCTTGGGGAGGGATTTGTTTTTACTTCTTGGGCCTGGATGGCATTCCTTCAGGGACCCTGGATACTCTTCTTGGGCGCAGCCTTATCCTCTGGACTTATCAGGAGGAGGGCAGAAGAATGGACAGTTCACGTGGAAAGAGAAGGGTAAGAGAGAGGAGACAGCCCAAAGGAGACAGGCGCAGCCCCAGTGTACAGCAAGAGGGGAGATGTACATGTACCCTGAAGTTTCTGCCCTGTAGGGAGTAAGACGTCTGAGGACAAGGAAAGCACGGTGCTGTTGCTGCTAGGGCCAGAGCTGAGCATGTGCCAATGGGTGAGGCCAACAGTGACAAGCCCTCAGGAAGGGGATGTGGCTACTTCTAAATTCTCCACTCTGGAGTAAAGCTTGGCTGCTCCACCCTAGTTTTAGCTCTGGAGGGAGGAAGTGAAAGGGGGGGGTTATACTCCTCTGATTTTATCTCCTCTCCACAGAGCAAGGTTGATATGAGAGGGGTGGAATGTAGGGACTGGAGGGTGGAGGGCAGCAGCAGAGAGAGGTGAAGATGCTTCTGCCAGCAATGGGGTGCCCTCAGCAACCCCTTACCCCAAACCCTGCTTGGTTGACTATTCTTGTGGATGGCTTCCAGTAAGGGAGTCATAGGATAGAGTCAAAACAGGACAAGACAGAGAGTTCAGATCCTGTCTGTGTGATCTTGGGCAAAGCGCACAGGGGCTCTGAGCTTTACCTGCAAGTTCGTCTCCCACTTCCCTTCTGGCTCTTTGACCCACGATCCTATCAACTGGGCTTTTCCCAGTTGAGGTGTGAGGGGGTAGCCAGAAGTAAGGTGGTGATAATTATCAACCCCGGGCCCTTTCTTAGAGGGAACAGAGACTCACCCCAGTTTCTTCTATCCAAATATCCTCAAAAATCTCTGCTTTAGGACATGCTCCCCTCTTCCATCCCTACCCCCAGCCCCCCCATCCAACCCCTCCTCCCCAGGTGAATTCCCATTTGAACTCAAGTCTTTCTGGATGACACTGTATTTCCATGATTGCCTGGCTTTTGGCCTTCTTCCCAGAAGGGCAGAGTCTTTTTTGCTGGCCTTTTCAGCTTCCCTCTCTTTCTCCTTCCTGCCTTGGAACATAAGATCCATCTCTTGCCCCTTCCCCTTGCTATCTCCTTGGCCTAGTCAAACATGGTCAAACATAGTTCACGAGATTGACCCTGAGGGATGGTCATGGGGTCTAGCTGTACAAGGAGAAGGAATGCTGGAGATGCCTCCCCCCCCCACCATGCTGCCAATGCTCCTTTGGTCTTCAGTGCAATCCATGTCTGGTTGGCTTCTGGCTCCTGGTCCCTGCGCAGGGTGCCCTTAGGGAGAAGCCCAGTGCTCACGTCCAGGGCACAGCACCTCTGATTCTGGGCTATCTCCTTGGCCAAGTATATGTTACAACAATCTTTTTTTTTTCCTTTCTTCATTTCTTCTTGTTAAAAAAAATAGCTATTTAACTGCCCCACTTCTCGCCATCCCCACCACCCGCCCCCTGCCAGCTTTGCTTTGTCTGGATCAGGCAGGCAGGCAGGGGTGGGGACTGTAGGGAGGGGAGGAGGCAAGGCAGGGTTAGCAATCACCAGGAATGGGAGGGTCAGGATCCTCTTTACTGGATCCCCCGGAAGAGGCACATGGCAAAGATCATGGCGAACAGCTGTAAAAAAGAAAGCAGGAGACTGAGTCAGGCTTTGGCTGCTAGCAAGCTTGAGCCCCGAGCCACCTCTAAGTGACAGTGGAGGAAGACTTTCAAGGTTCTGTTCTTTGCCCCCATCACCCCATATTCTGTATTATATATGAAATATCCTCATCCCCCCCCCACTAGAATGTAAGCTCCTAGAGGGCAGGAATGCTTTCATTTTTTTTCTTGACACAATGCTTGCACACACGAGTTCCTTAATAAATGTTTATGAAACTAGATTGAGTGGAATGGACTGGAATGAGAGAATTTCCTCACTGTGAATTTCTCAACTGCTCTATTTTGCTAGAGGCCATGCTGCTCTCTGCTCTGGGTACAGCCTGGATAAGGAGTTGTCAGCTCAGGCAGCAGAGAGTCTGCTGGCTCTAAAGTCAGAGGACCTGGGTTCAAATCCTGCCTCTGACACACACTATCTGTATGACCTTGGGCAAGTCACTTAAATTCTCTAGGCATTAGTTTCCTTCCCTGTAAAATCAGAAGGTTGGGCTAGATAGCCTGCCTTCTGGCTTTCGCTCTGTGATCCCATAATTCTGTGCTGCTCTTATCTCTGGGCACTACACTGACCAAGAGATCTCAGGTAAGTCCTTCCCAGATGAGTGGAGCAGGGGAAGGTGGCACGGATCTCTAACAGCATTGTCAGGCTTTGGTTGGAGTACCTGACGAAGGAAGCTTTGAGGGACAAAAGCAGATGGTGGAAACTGATTGATTGCCTTCCTAAGGCCAAATTTGGGGGAACTTGAATTTTCCCATCTCCTCAAGTAGCAACTTGAAAGTAAGGGCTAGCAACTGTACTGGTGATTCTCACCAAATCTGACAGTTTTGAAGACTGGGCATCCTCTTTCCTAATGGAATGGATGATATTTCTTGATTAAAAAATAAATTGAAATGGATTAGCACAAATATTTCCTGCTTTGAGGGTTTTACATCACTGCCTGAAAAGACTGAAAATCGATAGTGGGTGGCCAGGAGAAGGTATCCTAGATATTACTGCTTACATTACAAATTCTGCCTGGCTATGTTTCGCCTGGGCCTTTGGGCCTACCAAAGTAATAGCTTTGCAATGATCTGGGGTTCCTTCTCTCTCTCTCTCTCTCTCTCTTGGATTGGGCAGTGGGGGGTTAAGTGACTTGCCCAGGGTCACATAGCTAGTAAGTGTTATGTGTCTGAGGCCACATTTGAACTCAGGTCCTCCTGAATCCAGGACCGGTGCTCTATCTTCTATGCCACCTAGCCACCCCCTCGGGGTTCCTTCTCTTGCCTCCAAGGCCAACAAACTGAGAAGGAGGAAGAAGGGAGGGAGGTAGTTCCATTGATAGAGACTTTAGCTGACAGATGATATTACATGTACAGGCCAGATCCACTTAGCCCCTTTGAGAGGGAATATTTAGCCTTATGGACAGGGTCAGGTATAGACTTATAGGCTTACCTGTTAGTCAAGAGCAAGGGTGGAGAAACTGAGTTTTGTGGGAATGTAGAACGAGCTTTAACAAATGACTAGTGAATCTACTCAACATTCTAATGGCCCAGGCATCAAAATGTGGTAAGGGTAAGAACAAAACATTCAGGGCAAGAGCTATAGAAACCTCCTGGAAATGGGTACAATGGGAGTGATGGTGAGCCAATGTAGACTGGCCTGAGTCCAAGGAAAGAATCTCTGAGTCTCAAGTATGGGCAGTGGGAAACACACCAGACTTGAGAGTCAAGGGACCTAGGTTGGAATCCCCACTCTTGACAATGACTGACAGGCTGCAGGCATTTAACTTCTCTAAAACTTGATTAATTTACCTGCAAAATGGGGATAATAATATCATGCCTACCTAATCAGTCCGTAGAAGGGTAAGCACTTTCTAAACCTTAAAAAGTCTACAGACAGGAACATTATAATACTATTTCTTTATCCTGAGTAGAAGAAGGAAATGATAATAGGGGTTGGGGTGCCTTAGAGTCAACCATGCCTGCCAACTGATGAAGTCAAATTATAGTTACGAGGAAATATTTTCCTGCTCTGTAAACCCTGTCAATTATATACACCAACCTCTCCCAGGGGTGTTAGAAAGAAAATGATTTTGTAAGCCTTACAGCTCTATAGGAATGTGAATTGCTAATATGATTAATAATCATTATTACATCAATAATAACCATTATTAACTCCATCAGAAAGATGAGAAGAGTGAGGGAATATTATGGCCTCACTCTGCCTCTCTCCCTACAAAAGCCCTGTGAAGCATATAAGATTGAAGAATGCTAGAGCGAAAGTTGGAAAGGACCTTAGAGGTCTAGGTCAATACCTTTATTTTACAGACAAGGAAACTGAGGCCTAAAGGAAGCATGACTTGTCTAGAATCATACAGGTGACATGTAGTGGAATTGCTAAGCTCTCATACCTTCAAGTTGAGGGCTCTTCACACTGTACTGGGAACTGAGATCCAGAAAAATTATGAGTATGTATTGAATAAAAGGAAGAAAGGTTTTGTCCATCTCTAGGTCAGGAGGGTCTGGATGAATACCCCAGGCCAAGTGAGGGTTGGTGGTAGCTACTATCCCAGAGGACACTGGGGTCCTGGGGATCTAAAGAGAATCTCAAGAAGGATGAATGGGGCTCAGCCTGAGAGTGGTTGGCTTTCTTTTCCTAAGAGGAAGTCTTTTTTTTTTTTTAACGGGCCTCTACTTGCATGAAGCTCTGTGCCAGCCATGTCTTGGGGTGGCATAAGGAAGACCTGAGTTCAAATCCAGCCTCGGACATTTACTAGTCTTGTGATCTTGGGCAAATCACATAGCCCTCATTTACCTCAGTTTCCCCATCTGTTAAGTTGGGGCAATAAGAACACCTACTACCTAGGATTGTTTGAAGGATCAAATGGGGTAATAACTGTTGAGTACTTAGCATATGGTTAGCACTATATAAATGTGAGCTCTTATTATTCTGTTATTATCTTAGAGGCCATTGAATCCAATCCCCTCATCTTACAAATAAGGACACAGGTCCAGAGCAGTGACCTGCCCAGGGTCACTCAGTTTGAGAGCACCAGGAAGTCTTTGCATTTTTCTGGTGACACCAGCTATGTACCACTCAGTTCTTGCATCTTGTCCCTGGAGGGAGGGATGCGGGCCACGGGAGTCCTGGGAAAGGAAATCACAAGGGCAACAGAGTAGGGAGGACCCACGCTCCTGCTGACGGGGCGCAGGGAGCCGGGCCGCCCAGATCCAAAGGCACGCCGGGGCTGACATTGCTTACCTCAATAGCCAACACCCCGATGGCCAGGGCTCCAGCAAGATATACGTACGTCTCAAAGGAATTGAGGATCACAGTGTAGCAGCCCTAGGAGGCAAAAGAAGGAGACGTGACATCAGCTCCAGCCCCAGCCCTGGAAAACTGTGCTTTTCACTGAGGAAGGAATGACCCCAGACTAAGGAGCTCTCCGGCCCGGTGAGCTGCATTGAGGGCGGAGGCCCAGAAACGACCGATAAAGCTGCTGGTTTGATTGTAGAGTGGGAAGGAACCTGAGCGGCCACTTAACTCAACCCTACCAGAATGTACCGGACAGGTCGCCGTCCAGGCGGTGCCTGAACATCCCCCATGAGGGAGTGCCCACGGCCTCTGGAGGCCACCCGCTGCCCCTCTGGTCAGCTCTGATCATGACATCAAGCCCCAACCGGCCTCTTGCAGCTTTCACTGCTGGGAACACACCGAACGCATCAGATCCAGCTCTTCAAATAAGTGAATCTAGTTACCATGTCCTCCCCTCCCCCGCCTTCTCCTCTGCCAGTTCATCATTCCCAGCTTCTTCAACCAATCCTCCAGTGCACGGACTCCAAGGTCTTTCCCCATCCTGGCTGACCTCCTAGGGACACTCCCCAGCTTAGCAACATGTGTCTTAAACCATAGCTCCCAGGACTGAACACAGCACTCCAGATGAGGTCTGATCAGGGCAGAGGAGAGTGGGAGCCCGCCCAGCACTCTATCAGGGAATACCCACTGACACGAGGTGGGGGGCAGCAAACACAGGCTGACACAGGGAAACCGCTAAACCAGACTCCAAAGCCTACTGCTGAGGCACAAGAAGCCTCACCTGGTCCTTTTCATGAGAATGACCTGCGCATCGAAACAGCCACCTTCCTACTGTGAGGACCAGACTAGAAGCACTGTGGGCTAGCTCTGCCTTTTTCTAAAGAAGCTGGTGACAGGCCACTTGGGATGGGGAGAGACAGGTGCCCTCCTCTGGGATGCTGGCAGCATCTGATGCTTTCTTACTCCATAGATCACCTGCCCTGCCTTCTTACTTGTGTCAAGAGCAGGGCTGCCTTTCCATCTCCCCCAACATCACAGATGTTCTCCTAGAGGAAGCCTTTTCCCAATCTCTTTTAGTTCTAGTGCCTTCCCTCTGTGATCCCCCCCCCCAATCTATCCTGTATATAGTTTATTTGTTTTAGCTATTTGCGTGTTGTGCCTTCCACTAGATTGTAAGCTCCTTGAGGGCAGGGACTATCTGGTGCTTTTCTTTGCATCTCCAGGGCTTAGCACAGTGCCTGGCACATAGTAGGCATTTAATTAATAAATGCTCATTGACTGACTGAGCGAGATGTGACCCCTAACTAAGGTAGCGATTGAAAGGGACACAGAGGTGTCATGGGAGAGTCCCCAAGGCACATTCAAATAGGCAGGGAAGGCTAGATTTAGATAACAATATGACTCATGCTGGCTTGTCCCCTGTGCAGGCCAGACTAAGCCGGGGTGTGAGCCTGCAGCTGGCTGTACGGTGATCCTGGGCAATAGGGGGCAGGCAGACCACCTGCTCTCCAGCTGCTGAGTTCCTACCCACAACTTGGTCTTTCTTCCAAGGCTCTTAGACCTGGCCCTTCCTCCAACTCCTAAGTCTTCTCCAAAATTTTTGGTTAGGTTGAGGTCTTGGGTGGGGCCCTTCTTAATGCCTTGGCATTCCAAACCCCAGAGTAACTGAAAAAGAAAAACAACAATCCTCTATTTCCTCGAAGGAAGACAGAGGGGTTGGTAGTTTCTGGGCCTGCTTTGGGGTCCTGGTTGTAGTTAAATCTAGAGGCTATGGTTAGGCTAAGGGGAGGGGGAGGGGAATAGGGCTTAGCGTCTCCTCTTTGGGGTCTTAAGATCTAAAGTCAGAAGAGATATTAGAGCTCATATATGGAAAAAGTCCTAGAATTGGACATCAAAAGGGCTGGATTCAAGTCTATTGAGCATCAGGGTGGCCTTGAACAAGTCCCTTCCTCTCTGGGCATCTGTTTCCCTCAACTGTAAAATGAGCAGTTGGATTAAGTGACCTCTAGGGTCCTTCTTTAGCTGCTAGCATTTATAGACCTCTTCAAGGATTGCAAAGTGCTTCCCTATGGTACCCCACATGAGGAGGAAGGAAGGAGAGAGAGAGACAGAGAGAGAAGAAGAAGAAGAAGAAGAAGAAGAAGAAGAAGAAGAAGAAGGAAGAGGAGGAGGAGGAGGAGGAGGAGGAGGAGGAGGAGGAGGAGGAGGAGGAGGTGGAGGAGGAGAAGGAGGAGGAGAGATGGAGACAGAGAAACAGAGAGAAAGAGAGTGACAGGGACAAAGAGAGAGACAGAAAGAAAGAGAGGAGAAAGAGAAAGAGACAGAGAGAGGAGGAAAAGAGGGAGAGACAGAGAGAGGTAGAGTCAGAGAGAGGGAGAGACAGAGAAAGACAGACAGAAAAAACCCCCATAATAATAATTAAAACCCAAATGGGCAAGGTGGGTAGGTTGGGGTGGGTTGGGAGGAGGGGAAAAAACCACACACAGGCATGGTTTCTAAATAAAGAACAGAAATCCCTTTTTTGTTTGTTTGGTTAGGAATCCACAGTTGGTATGGCCTCAGTGCCTGGTCCAGATACACTGGAATTTTGTCCCAGAGCATGAGGGGTCAGCTGTCAGAAGAAGGGCTGGGCAGGATGGGAAGAAGTAGCACAGCACAGTAGAGGCAGCACTGTCTTTGAAACCAGAAGCCCTGGGTTCTAATTCTGACTGCCATTACTCCTCATGCAACCTTCAGGCAGGTGCTTCCTCTCCTGCATTTTTGTTTCCTATCTGCAAAATGAGAAGGGTTCAGGAGAGCAGCAGTTTTTAGCCTTGTGTCGTGAACCCCTTTCAGTCTGGTGTAGTCTGTGGACTCTTCTCAGAACAAAGGTCTTAAATAATTGGAGGAAATGCTAACTTTTATTAGAGATTGGTGAAAATAAAGATGCATTTTTTCTCATTAAAGTTCATGGATCCCTTGAAATCTCTCCACCAGCCATGTGGGTTTAAACCTCTAAGTTAGATGACCTCTCCAGCTCCTTCCAGTTCTCAGGTTCCAAGGTCTACGGTCCCTGCCAGCTCCAATATTCTGTCAGAGTGATTCCAAAATGGAACAGGCTTACCCACAGGGCAGCAAGTTCCTCCTTACTGAAGGTCTTCAAGAAAAGGCTGGATGACCATTTTCGTTTAAGAAAGAATTCTTTTTCAAGTATGAGTTGTACTAGACAGCTAACAAGAGTCGGACATGATCCAACGATAACCAGTGAAATGACAAAAGGCCTGGTACTATTGTTTAATCCCATTTTGCAGATGAGGAAACTGAGGCTAGAAGAATTAAACTAACAGTCACACAGCTAGCAAGTTTCTGAGACAGGATACAAACTCATGTCTTCATGATTCAAGACCTGGAGTTCAAATGATTCTTGTTGCAGGGTTACCAAAACCTGTTCCAACTCTGATTCTTTGAAAGTTTAAGCATATTGTTTAAATCCACTGGGTCTTATGTGCAAGAATGTTTACCCCCGAGGAGAACTCTTCATTTACTCCGTGGAGAACAAGGAAAGTCCCTATGATCTTACAGGTCAGAGATCTAAGGCTTTGTTCCGTATCTCAGTGTATGGATTGTAGAGAGGTAAGATTACTCTTTTTTTCGGATTCAGGTTAGACTAGATGACCCCCAGAGTTAGAGGTTATAGTTACCTCTGAAATTCTGGGACACTGTGAACAATCAGGTTAGACTTCCCTCAGAGAAAATGTGACCCTGCCGATGAGTTTGGTCATATTCGTTACAGGTTTCACCAGCCTGCCTTGTATGGAAGGGGGAGACACTGAACCTCCATTTTCCAGGGTGTTTCCTGCCTCCCTCCTCCCACCCTTTTATAAAATGGAGCTCCTGAAGCAATTCAGCCTCTCTTTGGCACACTGGATGTCTGTACGCACAGCTTCTACGGGGGTCCAACAGCTCCATAGTCTCACCTGGTCATTGCTTCAAAATTCTTTGTCATTTGCATACTCCTAGCTTCATGCATTTGAGAGATCCCACCTTGTCCCTTTGGGACATCCCCCCCTTATTCTTCCCAGCCGTGAGAACCTGTCTGTTCTACCTGTTTGTTCAAGGAGCGATCTCTTCCCAAGAGGCACTCCTCCCTGTTGACCAGCATGCCATCCCGGCTCTGGGGCTCTCTCCGGCAGCATGCCTCTGGGACTTCATCCCCATTGAAATTCAGGAAGCGGTAAACTGGGGCGGCTTTAAAGTCTTCGGGTCCATTGACCCCACAGCAACCAAACTAAATGCGCACAGACATACACACACAGAGACATGGAGATGGTTTACTTGGGGGAGGCTCAAGAATGGGACCATCAAGACACCCAGCATTTATTAAATGCCTACTGTCTACAAGTTCTTCCAGCTTTCAGGGGAGACAGCAATAAGTCATCTCTTTTGTGAGAGAGGCTGGAGTCTTAAGACCTGAGTTCAAATTCTGACTTGGCTACTTATTACCTGTGTGACTTTGAGTAAGTCTTTTTTCCTTCTCTGGGCCTCAGTTTCCTTCTCTGTAAAATGAAGGGGATAGATGAGATGATTTCTGAGAATCCAACCAATGCTAAAGTTCACATTTTTTTTTTCCTAAGGCAGAGAATGAGCGGGAACATCTAGGGAAGGAGTGGAACACAAAGACTGGCATGTCTCAGGGATGCCATTTACGCACCAAATCCCAAGAGAGTATCCACGAGCTTACAAATCTGAGACCAGAGGCTTTATTCCTTATCTCGTTCAGGTTGCACATCACTTAATCCTTCTGGGCCTCAGTTTCTTCCTTTGTAAACTGAAGGCATTGTACTAGAGGACCTCTAAGGTCCTTTCCAGCTGGGCTAATAATAATAGCTTGAATCTACATAGTGCTTTAAGGTTTGCAAAGCTCTTTGCAAATATTACTCCATTTGATCCTCACTATAACCCTGGGAGCTAGGTGATACTATTAGCCCCATTTTACAGATGAGGAAATTGAGGCATAGGGTAAGTAGCTTGTCCAGGCTCACACAACTAATTGGTGTCTGAGATCAGATCTGAACTCTGGTCTTCTTGACTCTGGGTACCACACTCTATCCATTGCACTACTTAGCTGATAAAAATACGAAATGAATTTGGTCTCTTAAGTTGATTATAATACAAGATAAGAGAAGAGAAAGTCAAAAAGAGTTAGTTCTTGGTTGGAGTCTTCTCTGCAATTGGATCCCCACAATTCTTTCTGTTCATATCTAGGGATTGTAGAGATAGGATCCCCCTTTCAGTCTTTCTTCTAAGTCAACAAGTGAGAGAAAATGCTCATCATGGGAGCAAAGGATTTGGAGCTGGGAGGGCCCCTAGGGACCATTTCCTCCAAGATCCATATCTCCAGATAAGAAAACTAAGGCTTAGCCACTTGCTTAAAATCACCCAGCAAGAAAGGAGCAGAGGTAGTGTTTCCATTTCTGACTCCAAATATCAGAACTCTTATCTTTCTACAGTACTGTGAAGCTCCTGGTCCTCCATCCCCACCCCAGGATGCACGTGGAGGGGGCAAAGTGACAATAATTCTAGCAACTACAGAATCTGCAGAAGTTGGGAAGAAACAGTATGGGTGGTGGCTATGGGGAGGGTGGGCTGACAACAGTCATCCCAAGGCAAGAGACTAGGGAAATGATGAAATAGAAGAGGAATAAAACAAAGACATGTTATGGATTCAAAAGACCTTAAGAGAAAACTCCGAGAGATTAAAATGATTCTATACTAATTGCAAGGAGAACCCAAGAAAAAAGAAGGAATCAGCCACAAAAACACCAACAGTGAATGGAGTGCCAACTAACAGAAATGAAGAAAGAGTTAAAACAGGAGATAAAAGAATGAAACTGGAGCTTGTGAGGAAAGAACTACGAAGGAAAATACATGGTTTAGGGCAGAGCTGTCAGACTCATTGGTCACAAGCACAGCTAACTGCCAAACAGACTGAAATGTAATTGGGAAATGCTTAACAAAATCCAAATAGAATACGACATAGATAATGTCGGTTTGTGGTTTTCTAAGTCAATATTCAGCATCCAGAGATCCATTTCTATTTGATTATGATACCACTGGCTTGAAGGACAATTCCCCAGAACCTTATTAAGAGTAGCAGATGCCCAGAGAAATCCAGCGAGGTGCCACATTGCTCTACCCTACCACGGGCATAGCCACATCTTTCTAGGAGACTTACCGTGATCATGACTGAGTTCCAGGTAGCGGAGAAGACATCTGTCTCGTTGCTTCCCTGATAATGCTTGGTCAGCTCCTTGGTGAAGAACTCTCTTGTTAGCTGAGAAATAGAAGGAGGAGGACAGGACATGAAGATCCCCAAACCCACACCCAAAGTCCTCACTGTGCCTCAGAGATAATTTCTCCCTACCTCTCTCGATCTCCAAGCTAAAGCAGGAAACTTCTGCTCCTCTGGGGAGTAGGGCTGATTCAATTCAATAATCTGATCTGCATCATTAAGCACCTACTGTTTGCCAGCCACTATGCTAGGCACTGGGGATATGAAAACAAAAGAGTTTCTGCTCTTAAGAAATTTATATTCTACTAGTCAAGAGAATCTGAGGTAAGGCTTCTTGGGTCCCTTTCTAAGATGAAAATTTTGGGTGTTGCCATTCCAGGCCTCATAAGATCATTGCTTTAAATATGGAAAGAATTTAAAAGGCTATGTAGTACAACTGTCTTATTTTACAGATAAGGAAACTGAGGCCTATGGAGGTTAAATGACTGGCCCAAGGTCATATAACCAGTAAATATCAAAGGTGTGATTTGAAAACAGGTCCTCTGACTCCAGGGCCAGTGCATTATTCATTGAGTACAATCCTGGCACCTGGCTCTACCCTCCCTATATGGTTGGGAAAGTTTGTCCAGGGTGGGGATAAACTTGGGCATAGGCTTTCATCAATAAAGCAACACTAAGCCAGCATTTGCTGAGCCACTGTGTGCATAGCATTATATAGGCCCTGAGGGATAAAACCCTCAGAGGGCTTCCTGTCTCATAAGACATTGTGGTTGCTCTCCTGCAGAGAATCCTGCACATCACCAGGGGCCCCCAGGCCTGAAAGAAAGCAGGCTGCAGAAGAGCTGGGGACCACACTTTTCTTCTGGGATCTCACAGGACACATTGTCTGCATGTGGTCTGTACTTCCCTCGCTAATGTACTTATCATGGAAAGCTAGTACCTTTCTCTACAAGTGTTCATCTCTGATGCCTCATCGTGATGTCGGGGTGACCCTGGAGGACTAGAGACTTGGCTTGGGGAACATAAGCTTTGGTGGGGGCTACTGATCCAGAAAGACCTCAAGGACATGCTAGGTTAGGAACAGTAAGTTTGTGAGCTCAGAATGAGTTTCCTTCCTTCCTTCCTTCCTTCCTTCCTTCCTTCCTTCCTTCCTTCCTTCCTTCCTTCCTTCCTTCCTTCCTTCCTTCCTTCCTTCCTTCCTTCCTTCCTTCCCTCCTTCCTTCCACCTTTCCATCTCTCCTTCCTTCCTTCCTTTCCTCCCTCTCTTTCCTTCCTTTCTTCCCTTCATCCTTCCATCTCTTCTTCTGTCTCTCCTTCCTTCCTCCTTTCCTTCCTATCACATGCACACAAGTGTTTGTGAATGTCTTCCAAAGTGTACATGTGTGTGTTAGCTCATTTATACAAATGGGTATAAACCCTAGAACTTGTGGCTTTGTCCTAGACTTTGGGTACCACAGAACAAAACCCCTTTGATGGTTAGGGGTTGGTTTCCCCTTGTATTTGTTTCCCCAGTGTCTGGCACATGTGAGATAATACATCAATTATTTGAGGTCTGTCACATGGAAGAGGGATCAGACCTATTCTTCTTGGCCTCAGGGAAAAGAAGTAGGAGTGACCTCCAGAAATGGAAATTCCAGAGCCAGGGGTTGTGGTTCAACACAAAAGTAGGGAGAAGGCCTGGATGTAATTGATATAGGGAACTCCCATATGAGGGCACTCCCTCTACCAGCGCAGGTTGTCACCTTCTTTGTGGCCTCTAGCTGTAAAGAGGTGCCCAGAACATTTCGAGGTTGTGATCTGCCTGGTGACAATGTTATTCTATATCAGAAGCAGGGCTTGAACCTGGGTCTTCCTGGTTCCAAGGATGGCTCACTGTCTCCTACAACATCTTGTTTCTCTCAATAGCAGGAAAAAACCTCCTAGTACTTTAGAGTTATCCCAAAGTAGAATGGGCTTCCCCTTGCTTAAGGTCTTGGAGGGCAGACTGTGATCATTTATCATGGCTCTTGAAAAGCTGATTTCTGTTCAGTTATAAGGAAGTAAAGAAACATTTTTAAAGGGCTTATTATGTACCAGGCACTGTCCTAAAGACTGGATGTCTCCCTGGGTCCTTCCCCATCTGAAATTTGGTGGATTCTTAAAAAGCTATAGAAACCTGAGCAACCATTGCTTGTAATGGCTGTGGTGACAGAAGAAAGCTAATGGGAGGTGATGGATAGAGGGCTAGCCGTTCAGTTAGGAAGATGAGAGTTCAAATCCTGCCCCTGGAGATCACTGCTTGAATGGCCACAGATTGATCCCTTAACCTCTTAGCATTCCCAAGTGTCTCTAAGGCTATAAGTCAGAGAGGAGCTGCCAATCTACAGTTGGGGAGAGTTTCCTCGCTGGGACTTCTTTACACAGTTCCAGATAATAATAATAATAATAATAATAATAATAATATACATATATATACATACATAAATGCCTACGATAAAAAAAGAGTATGAGACAAGGTTTGAACCAGGTTCCTGCCTACAAGCCTAAGACTCTTCCTACAATAGTAGATTGGAAGAAATGTTTGGAAGGGACCACAGGAGTCATCCAGTCCAATCACCCTCATTGTACAGGTGAGGAAACTGAGTCCAAAGGAGTCTCGATGCCTTGCCCAAGGGTACTCAGGCAGGAAGTGTCAGGGTTTGACTCTTGATCCCCCGATTGTGAAGCCATATTGTATTGATAAGCACTCAGGACAGAGAGCCAGAGCCATGGGCAAAACTTTGGAGCTCCCAGACTTTCTTCTAGTCTAAGGGTTCTTAATTTGGGTTCTGTGAACTTTGAAAAATGTTATAAATATTTCAAAATAATTGTTTTATTTTCTCTGCAATCCTATGTATTTTATTTTATACATTAAAAAATTAGTCTGAACAGGAATCCATAGGTTTTTAACAAACAGTCAAAGGGGTCTATGACACAAAAAAGCCCTCTTCTAGCTAATTTCTCACGTCCTCCACCTTTTTTTCCAGCCTGGCTCTCCTTGGGAATCCTCACTTCACCCTCTCTACCTGGGGTCCAACACTGGCGCTGGTCTCTGAAGTAGCCAGCAGGTGGCACTGTCTGAGCATGGCAGCTCCATCCAGAATTGGGAGAGGGTCAGTCTCAGGGACAGGACTCTGGGCCCCATCACCTTCAGTATCCAGATCAGCCCTTAGTGCAGCAATGTCCTGGTTTCAAATGGTATTTTATTCGTAGGTTTTCATTTACTCAAGCATTAGGCACAGGAGAAAGGGCACCTTAGTTTCTGTGCCTGGTCCCCTCACTGTCCACTAGATGGCTATCCAAGGCTGTCAGATGGGGATGTGGGGAAGCCACCCAGCCCACTCACTCCTCTGACAAGAATCTGATATCTGAGACATTCAGATCCAGCTCCCTCAGCCTTCATAGACTTCCAGTGTTTCAATGCGGGAGGAAGGAGGAGGAAAGAGGGGAACCTTCCCACTCTGCCTGGGACTTTATTTGTTTATTTTTTTGGTCTGTCTCCTAGGATGCCCTAACTCTTCAGAATCTGCTTTTATTTTATTTTTTAATTTAATCTAATTTTTTTTTTAGAATCTGCTTTTAGATAAAGCAGATATGGGATGAGAGCAGCCTGGTATAGTGGACAGAAAGCTGGCTGCGGAATCAGGAGGACCTGCATTTCCGTTGCGTCTCTGACACACACTGCCTGGGTGACCCTGGGCAAATGACAATTTGTTACTGCTCCAGGCTGCTCTGTAGACTAAAAACCGTGGAACAGCTGCTGCTTTTCATCAGGAGAGGAAAGGGGGTTTCCTTATAGGGAATTTCTTGCACTAATGAAATCATAAGTCTTGACCAAAGAGGGGAAAAAAAACATGATGGATCTTTTATTTCATTGCTATAATAAAAACCTGACATTTCTAGAGAACCTTAAGGTTTACAAAACTTTTTTTCCTCTGTAATAATCCAGTGAGGTAAATTGTTCACAGATGTAGCGGCTAAAATGCTGGACTGAAATGGTTAGGAAGGCTTGGGTTCAAATCCTGCCTCTGACACTAAGTGGGCAAGTCACTTAACCTGAGTTTAATTTTCCTCATCTGTATAATGGGGATAATAATTCCTATAATAAAAGTATTAGTATTATAGTATGGGCTCTCAAACTTTTTTTTGGCTTATAGCCATAGTATTGTTCTTTGCTGCAAGGAATCCTGGCCCAATACTGAAGGGAGGGAAATTCTCAATCTCTCTGTCTCTCTCTTACACACACACACACACACACACACACACACACACACACACACACACACACGAGATTTCAGGTGTGATTTCCACAAATCTGCAGCATCTTCTCCTCTGAGAAGCACTTCAAGAAATAGCTAACCCCCAGAGCAGTTATGAAGCTCAAATGAGATCATGTGTAGAAAGCGCTTTACAAACTTTAAGGTGCTATATGAATGTGTTATTATTCCCATCTTACAGAGGAGGAGGTTGAGGCTCAGACAGGTTAAGCAACTTGCCAAAGGTCGAACAGCTAATAAGACACAGAGCAAATTCAAAACCAGGTCTCCTAAATCTCTGGTCCATGATGTCCTGCATGGTCAGCCAATGTTTGCGGGGAAGGAAGAGGCAGAGGGTGGCCGCTTGGTCCCTGGGGGTGTGGACGGACACATTCGCATTAGGGGCCCTGCACAGTACTTACGTTTTCTCTGAAGATGAAGGCCAGGATGGCTGCTGAGAGCTCCGCCAGGAATATTAACAAGATGAACAGGAAAAACTGGAAAAACAAGAGAAAAAAAGGCAGGTGAGCCTCCTGGCCGGTGATGAGCGAGGGAGCGCCAGCGCAATGCTGAATGACTCCTGCTTAGCACTTTTTCACAAGCTGGTCCCCAGGCCTGGAATGCTCCCCAGCTCCCCTTTGCCTCCTGGCTCCCCTCGTGGCTGAGAAACTCCCACCTTCTGCAAGAAGCCTTGGCCTCTCCCCTTCATTTTAGCCCTTCCTTTTGCAGGGACTCTCCTACTCAGTCTGCAGTATGGGCATTGTGCTTGGCACAGCACCTGGTGCATACTGGGTACCTAACAAATGTGAGCTGATGGCTTGGCTAATACAGACAGACAGAAGGAACCTCAGAAATCCTTCAGTCCAACCTCATCTGATTTTACAGGTGAGAAAACCGAGCCCAGAAATGCTATATGTTTTACGCAAGGTCACAAAACTCGCAGAGTCAGGACTGTGCAAACCCATGTCCTCTGATTCAAGCCCTCAGTCCACTCTACCATGTGGACTTTGGATCAGCAGAGACAGACCAGAAATGACCAACTGAAGTTGAAATCCGGAATAAGTAAGGAGATGATAAGAAAACGCCTAACTGCCACCTCAGTTAGGGGGAAGCCCACTGACACGTGAGCCTAGGTACCCCACTCTACTTTAGGATGCCTTTAAATTATTAGGCGTTCAAGCCACCAAGCTCCGAGGAGCTCCATTCTAGCAACCTGGCAGAGATGGCAGGTGTGATTAATGATCTAATATTAGTGATCTTTGAAGGATTGTTGAGAATTGGAGAGGCGGTGAAGGGGCAAATATTTTGATTTTCCAAAAAAAAAAAGTGTACATTATAGGACTGTAAACTTAACTTGGAATCCATGTAAACTTTGGTAGTATATTATGAAAGGGTGGTTAGTAAACATTTAGAAAAGGAAGAAGAGTTTATATGGACAGCTTCCTGACAATTAGAATATCCCAAAGTCGAATGCTTTGCCTTGGGAGACAGTGGACTCGTTTATCTCTCCCCCTACCCCACACTGTTAGTCATCTTCCTTTGGAAGTTGAATGATCACTCATCAGAGATACCGTAGAGATGATTTTTCAGGTCCCCTTCTGGGCATCATATTCTGCAAGCTATTGCTTCAGAAGCAGCCAGAGTCACAAGCAGACATTTCTCCAACAAGAGGGGTTAAGAGGTTAAGTGCTCTCGCCTGCCAGCTTTTCTCCCCAATCAAAAGGCTTCTCAGTCAATTTCCTCTTTGTCTTTTGAGATCTTCCTCCTGCCCCCTCCCATCAGGTATGTTTGCCTTACACCGGAATACTATGACTCCCCTAAGACACTGAGCTTGCCCCAGCAACCAGCAGTTTTTCCTTCCTTCACTTTGGATACAAGCTGCATTAGGAATAAAATGCCTCAGAAGTGACTATTAAAAAAAAGCTCGTGCCCCTATTGGAGCAAGGCAACATTTTAAGACAAGATGAAGTGTAAAAATTCAGATGCGTTTAGGACAGATTTCTGATAGCCACACTCAGAGCTAAAGGCCTTCCTTCAAGAAACGGAAGAAAAAGACTCAAAATACCACTTTATGCCTTCCCAGAGTCCATGAGTCTCACTGGGTCTTTGGCTGTGGTGCATGGATGGCGTAAATCACTGGGTCCTGGCTTCACGCTGTGGCTCCTTGAGGGTTTCAGGTTGATGTCGCTCTGGTCTGGTGTCTGGAATAATCACTTCTAGTTGATGACCGAAGAGCTTTGGTCTGGTCTGACCATAGGGTGTCCAGACCTGAAGAACCCATCTGTTAGGTCTAACAGCTGCTATGCTGTCCCAGTCCAGTTGTTCTCAGGACTCTCAACAGCTGGATTAACATATGTGACACCTGTACTCTGATGTCCTTAGAAAGGTGGATAGAGCCCTACACACGGAGTCAGGAAGACCTGGGTTCAAGTCCTACCTTGTGTTGTTGTGTGACCTTGGAGACATGATTTAGTTTTTCTCCTCCTTAGGACCTCCTTCACAGGGTTTTTGAGAATCAGATGAAATAATGCATGAGCAGGAATGTGGGAAAGTTTGCTGGATTTGGTACTGAGTTGAAATCCTGGCTCTGCTGCTTGCCCCTCACATGCCTGTGGTTATCACTCCACTTTTCTTGACCTCAGTTTCCTCATCTGTAAAATACAGGACTTGTACTAGAAAACCTCTGAGCTTTCTTTCCAATCTAAGCCTCTGATCCTTTGTTAAGCACTTTGAATACCTTACAACATTAGGTAAACATGAGCTATTTTCATTATTATTATTCTGGATTGGGGGTAGACCCACCAGGTGAGATTTTTAGACATTGCTTATCCCACTGATCTTGGTAAACTGCTTAGTTTTTTCACCCATGACCAAGAGGCAATGTGGCATAGTAGAAAGACAGGAAGTTAGGGGACCTGGGTTCTAGGTTCCAGACTAGCTAGCTGGATGACCTTGGACAAGTCACCACTCTTCTCTGGGCTCCTGAGGTCCCTACAGCTCTAAAGTTCTGTCATTCTATCATTCTGGCATCTTTAACCAGGCATGTCCTAGTGAATTAGGAGTTGACCTCAGAGCCAGGATAACCTGGGTTCAGGTCCTGCCTCTATACACACTGGCTTTGTGATTCAGGGCTACCCATGCCCCAGATCAGAGTTAGCTGGACAGAAGAAAGGAAAGTTATTTCCTGACCTTTTTGAGTATACCATTATCCAGTAATCATGCTTTGTATCTCACTTACACTAGCCCAGACCTCTTCCTCCTTCTGAAGTATTGGTGCTGCTCTTCGGTTGGGTCCTAGAGAGGAATCCTCCTGAGCTTTCTCCTCTGCTGACACTGCCTGCATCTCCTCAGGGGCTCCCATGGCACCCTCAATTCTGTTTTGATGTATCACTGATCTATCTGATTTCACACAGCATGGGTGGGGCATGCCTGTATCGTTCTAGGTTCCCTCTGCTCGGATGTTGGCAAATGCTCGAAGGACATTGGCCAAGAGAGGTTTTATGAGCTGTCAGCCCTCTAGAACAACTCTCTCTTCCCCACTGGCCCAAAGACCAAGGCCAAGAACAACATACAACAGTGCAATGCTTCATGAAGCATGGAATGGTGCCTCCAGGGCTGGAAAGGTGGCACCTGATCAAAATCAGGAGGCCCTCATTCCAGACTCTCTCTCCCCAAAAGTCTTCAGTTTCCAAGTCCTATAACTCAGTTTTTTTTTTATTGCAGTGTCCTTGTTGATCAATGAATTGGTGTAATATAGTGGAAAGAAGGCTTGGAAGTTGGAAGTTGGAAGATGGTTGGAAAATGTCGACAGTTGTATAGTTGGAAGATGGAGGGTTTGAGTTCCCGTAGAGAGATAGCCTTTGAGCCAGGGAGATCTGTGTTCACACCCCGCCTCTGACACATACAGGCATTGTGACCCTGGACAAGTCATGTGACTTCTCAATGTCCTACATAACTCTAAACCTAGAAATTGCAGAGCAGGTGCCCATCCTCATCGGTAGAGATTTTTTTTGAAGAGCTAGAAGGGACCTTAATCCAACCCCTTCATTTTACAGACAAAACAGCAGAGATGCAAAGGGAGGATGGGACTTGCCCTAAGAAACACTGGCACACAGTGGTGGAACTCAGACCAGACATCAGGTTCTCTGACTCCCAGGCCAAGGTTGCAGGCCTGAACTCCAGCTGGCCCAGTTAGCTTGGCTCACACCATTGGCTAGAGGCCACATTCATGGCCCCAGTCAGCTGTCTTACAAATGTGGGCTATTAGCTACAAAAAAAGGTAAGGAAAGAGAGTGGAAGAAGGTCCAGGGAAAATTTCACAGCTGATGGAAAAAAACAGCTCTAAGACCAGGGTTGAGTTCTAGCTCAGACACAGCTATGCGGCCCTGGACAAACTATTTTCCCTTTCTGGGTCTCAGTTTCCTCATATGTAAAACAGGACTTGGGCACCTAGGCATTGATAGAATGCCAGACCTGGAGTCAGGAGGACCTGAGTTCAAATCTGGCCTCAGACACTTACTAGCTGTGTGACACTGGGCAAGTCACTTCACCCTGTTTACCTCAGGTCCGTCATCTGTAAAATGAGCAAGAGAAGGAAATGGCAAACCACTCCAGTATCTTTGCCAAGAAAACCCCAAATGGGGTCAAGAAGAGTCAGACACAACTAACTGACAAAATAACAACAAAAACAGGATTAATAACTCCCTGCACACTTTGGTGGGGCTCAAATGATATAATAGCACATCATATCTATACAAACATATTACATGTATGGAGAAACAGAGCATTACATAAATGTGATTTATTATTCTTTACAGGCCTGTGATTTCCAGCATAAGGAGCTCCCAGCAGAGAATGCTCTCTCCTAATACAAATCATCCTCTTTTCTGAAATTCAGAGTCTTAGAAGTGGTTGCATCACTGAGAGGTCCTGCAATTGGCCAAGGTCACAAAGCCGGTGTGACAGAGGCAGGACATTGATCAAAGGCTGCTTCACCTTCGAACCCCAGACTTGGAAGCCAATGGCACATGGTGTGGTGAGGGATGGAAGGGGAAGACAGAGCTCAGACTCCTCCTTGCATCCTCCATGGAGCCCAGTGGTATCGATGGCAACCCAACCTCTACGAATGAGTGGTAAAGCCACTTCCTCAAAGTCACCTAGTAAGTGAGGGGCAGACACTGGGTCTCCGACTCCAAGTCCAGGGAGCTTCCCACTAGACCATGACTTCCTTTTGGTTCACAAGCACCCGGACATGGAGAGGAGGATCTGGGAATGGGTAAGGGGGGTGGATGTCAGAGGGGCTTGTACTTACGAAGAGTAGCAAACACTTGTTTTCCCGGATGGCTCCACAGCAGCCTAGGAAACCGAGTAGGAAAAGCAGGGCCCCCATGGCCAGCAGGATGTAGGCGCCCGTGAAGAGGAGGGGGTTAGCAGCCACAATCTCTCGAAACCCCGTGGGGTCCACCATGACCCAGATCCCGACGCCCAGCAGGCAGGCACCCCCCAGCTGCTCCAGGGCCCAGCAGAGAGGAGGAAGGAGTAGGGAAGGGATAGAGGTAGAGAAGGGGTGGGGGAAGAAAAGGATGCAAAGTTTAAACATTCTGCTCATGACTCCTAGGACCATGCTTTCCTGCTGGGGAGCCAGATGGGTTAGTTAGCAAGAGGGGCCCACATCCTGAGCAGCAGATAAATTAGGAACATGGTTTATTAGGCAGAAATTCAATTTGCGCCACGAATCTATTTCCCCAAGGTGTTCTCTGTTACTTTCTTTTCTTTCTTCTTCTTTTTTAAATAGCTGCCATAATTTGGGGCTTTTAACACCTACCTTAAATAAAGCACCTACCCTTCAAATGCAAGCTGTGAACTGTGAGCTGTGGTCTCTTCCTTCAGCCCCACAGGGTGGAACCCTGTTCTCCTTTAAATGTCCTGGCACCTTCCTTCCACAGTGATGACTGTAAGTCTCCATTATCAAATGATCGTACTAGGGAGAGCTGGACTGTTGCTCTCTTCTTTTAAGAGGGTGGGAGACAGCTATGATTTAATTGTCTTAGGAAACCACCCATGCAGATGGGCACCTACTCCACATCTGAGAATCCCAGAGTTTCCTGAGGCCATCCAGAAGTGGAGACTTCGCTAGAGTCACACAGCAAGTATCTGTTAGAGGCAGGACTTGAATCCAGATATTTCTAACCGAGGGCATCTAGGAGGCACAGTGGAGACAGTGCCAGGCTTAGAGTCAGGAGGAGCTGAGTCAAATATAGCCTCAGACACTTACTACCTCTGTGACCCTGGGCAAGTCACTTCACACTGTTTGCCTCACTTTCCTTATCTGTAAAATGAGCTGGAGAAGGAAATGATAAACATCTCTAGTGTCTTTTCCAAGAAAACCCCATATGGGGTCAGGAAGAGTTGGGCATGACTGAACGGAATGGTATTTCTAACTGAGGTCAACTCTCTATTCATTGAGCTACAGATGCCTCCTTGCCCTTTTCAATTCAATTCATTATTGGCAAAATATCTACTTTGTGTAAGGCACTGTGATATGTCAAAAATACAAAGATAAAATGACAGTCCTTGTTCTCAAAGAACTTATATTCTATTGGGGAAGGGAGAGGGAAGTGGATGTGACATGTAGAGAGGCAAGTGAGATACAAAGTAGGGAGTGATGGGAGAAGGAAGAGATGGAGGAGGAAGGGAGAGAGAATGGATGAGATGGAGAAGAAAATGATTATGGTGATTTGCATTTTTAAATGGTTATCTTCATTTTCCTAGCATCTTCTCCCACTATGTGGTACAAATGAAGAAATTGAAGAAAATGAAGGCAAGGGGGAAGGGAAGGCAAGGGAGGGGAAGGGAAGGAAGGGAAGGGAAGGGAAGGGAAGGGAAGGGAAGGGAAGGGAAGGGAAGGGAAGAGAAGAGAAGAGAAGAGAAGAGAAGAGAAGAGAAGAGAAGAGAAGAGAAGAGAAGAGAAGAGAAGAGAAGAGAAGAGAAGAGAAGAGAAGAGAAGGCAAGGGGAAGGCTCTCACCAGGGTACACAGCTAGAACTCAGATCTTTGTTCTCTTGAATGTTCTTTGCACTAGAATATGGTAACTGTTGCCTGTTGCTCCCTTAGGGACTGCCCCTTTCCTGGGTGAGGGCTTTCTCCTTGTGGATGGTCCCAAAGGACCCGAGGGCTTGAGGATCTCTAACTATTTGTTGTCTGCCAGCCTAGTTCTTAGATAAGGAAGACCTAGGTTGAATCCCAACTCTGCTGCTTAGAATGACAGAATCACAAATTTGGAAGGGACCATACTGGTCTGGTCAAACTCTCATTTTATAGATGTGGAAGCTGAGGTCAAGGGAAGTGAGACGGCTTAACCCAGATTGCTTGTGTGACCAAGCGTAACGGTGTGACTTTGGGCAGATTTCATTACTTCCTTGGGCCTCAGTTTCCTCACTTGTAAAATGGAGGGGTTTAACTAGATGAATTCTGGGGCCCTCTTCTACGATCCTATTCTCTGCTTCGGGCATGGAAGTCCCTTGTTCCTTGGCCCCACTGGCTCCCACCACTGGGGAATGAAAGAAGCCCAATTTCTCCAAACATGAATATTTTAAGAGAATCACTTGTTTTGAAAGCCTGGCAGAGACAGAGGGAAGCCGATAGAGGGGAGGATTCCCGGAATACTTACAAATATGAAGAAATTGAAAACAAACATCAGATACTTCATGCAGCTCAGACAGTCGCCCTCCATGGTGCGCCTCTGCCTGCAAAACATCAAGGCAGTCCCTGTGGTTCTGTCCATCTGCCTCCTCTCCAGCTCCCGCTCCCTTCCCTCCTCCCCAATGCCCTCAGAGGAGAGAGAATGGGGCCTGGTGTGAGCGTTGGCCTCGAAGCTGGAAGGCAGGGGCAGACCCTGGGGCAGAGATCATGAGAGCTGGAAGGGACCTTAAGAAGAATACGCTCCAGCTGGAAAGGAGCTTAGAACACACTGTTACCATTGGCTACTTTAGGTTTGCACTGCACTTTCCATACATTATTTCATTTGAATCTCAAAATGAACCCTATGGAGTAAGTGCTATTATTATTCCCATTTTACAGATGAGGAAACTGAGGCCCTACAGAGGTTAAGTGACTTGCCTAAGGTCCCACAGCTAGTCAAACCCAGGCCTTCCTGACTCCGACGGCAGGTATGTGAAATCTGAGAGGGGCCTTACAAATCATCAGGTCCATTGCCTCTCACCCTTATTTTTACAAATGAGGGAACTCTTTGATAGTTTTACCAGGACCTGGCTTCATTCTTCTATAGCCCTGTCAGTGGGACCACTCTAAACACTAAGAGGGATTCTCTAAATCCAGGCAGCAGAGCCTACGTATTGCTTGTGCACACATACACACACCACACACACACACACTCACACACACACACACACACACAGACACACACACACAGACACACGTATTTTGGCTGCACATTCCTAATGAAAAAGCAGCATGGGGTATGCACTTCTCCATCCCTCTCCCTTCCCTTCAGCAACGTTTCCCACCCCAGACTGCATCCAATTACATGCTAAATTAAGGGGAGGATCTGCACTTGATTCAAGCAAAACCCCCATTCTCGGCAGCGTCACAGTGAATATTTCCCAGGCCTCTCTGTGCCTTCCCTTCATTGTGCTTCCTAATGCACTGGGTGCTTGTCCAGTCGGCCTCGGGGGCTGCCCGTGGCCATGGTAACTGGTAGTTTTCCAGACACCGCCAGGCTGCCGGGCTCTTCAGAAACCCACTTGGGCGGGGGGGGGGGGGGGGGGGGGGGAGCGGCTGAATCAGGTGAACGCACCATGCTCTAATTTGGGGGTTGGTCCGTTGCACGGCAACCCTGGGCCTGGATGCCTATTTCATTCTCCTCTCAATGAACCTTTCCAGCCTTTATTTTTCCCCTCTGAAAGAAAGACTGGTGGAGAAAGGAGCAGAGGGGAGGGGAGGGACGTAAGTGTTGGTATAGTCTTGGCTATGGGGCTCAGAGACCTCCAAAGGGGGAAGGGGAGATATTGCACCCAGGCGTTCTGACTCTGGGTTTTATGTTCTTTCCATTCTATTATGACGACTACGCAAAAATCTAGCCGAGGATGTAACCCAGTCTTAACTCCTTTTCAAGGAACATTCCAATGCTTGCTTTGGTTACAGGTTTCCTCTTAGTTAAGCCATTTACTAGCTAGTGTGCGTAACTCACTTAACCAGCCTTGGCCTCAGTTTCCATAACTATAAAATGAGGGGATCACATAGTCCAAACTGTGTCTGTCCAATGGGGCACTTGTCATAGAGGGTCTAGTCGGGGAGTATAAGCAGGGGACCCACGTTCATGGAGACTGTTTCTGGAAGGATTCGAGGATGGAGAATGGAGGGTACCAGCTCTGAGCTGTAACTATGCAGGGCTTCTGTGTCTGCTTCCTGTCCACTTACTGTGCAGTGAAGAGGGGCCTTTTGGTCGTTGGCTAAGCCAGACATGAAAGCACAAAAGGCTTCAGAAACCTGAACTTCTTCCTTTCTATTGACCCTAGGGTGGAAGGTGAACTCTTTGCTCTGGAAGGCCAGTGGGGGCAGGGGTGCCCTTCTCTCCACTGGGTCAGTCAGTGAGCACGTGGCTACCTAGGCCAGCCTGTGTCAGCCATGGGGCTTCCTCCAGCTTGGGGATCCTTTCCTTTGGTACGTGGACTAACGACATTTTTCAAGGTCTGGGAACTAAAAACCATAATAGACTCCACCAGCAGCTGAGCCTGGTGAAGACTGATGCCCTGAGGGACAACCTGTGGGACCCAGCCCAGGAGATGCTGTACCCTGCAGCAAGGGAGTACCTCTGGCCATCAGCTGGGTCTCATTCAGAAGGGAACTTGGTAGGATAATTGCTTCAAGTGTGAGCACACTTGAAGTACATACCTGACAATATATATACCTGACAAACAGTTGCCACTCCGACTATGACCCTATAATCTTCCTCAGGTCATCTGGTCCATCTCCCTGCCTCTGGGCAGGGCAGAAAAACTACCCGGAAATGACTGATGCCTGGTCCCACAATTACCTAAAGTGGCCACTGTTTATGGTGCCCTTCCTTGTCTCTGACTAGGTGTATAGTCCAGGGGTCCTAGAGCTCTGCCATTTTTGAGATGAACTGAATGAAACCTGGAGAAGGAAATGGCAGACCACTCCAGTATGTTGGCAAAAACAAACAAAACAAACAAACAAAAAAACCCCAAAACAAACAAACCAAAAAAAACCAAAACACAAAAAGCAAAACCCAAATGGGGTCATGAAGAGTCAAACACAACTGAAATGACTGAGCAACACCGGATGAAACAAAGTTGAGTGTCACCCATTGGTGGAGGTGTGCAGGGGGACTTTTGTGGACAAGGGCCCCTCAGATGCTGAGAATGTTGGTGACTGTTCACCAGGACTCTGGGGATAAAAATGGTGGTTATTGGCAGGACTGGGAAAGGGTGTTGAAGACTCTCCCTGGATAGGCATAAATTAACTCAGGAATAGATCTTTCTACTCTTAAACCTGGCAAAGGAAGGGCAGTGGTAAGTGGGATAGTGTCCAGAGAAGGACAATCAAAATAGTTAAAGGATTTGAGATCATGTCATAGGGTGATCAGTTGGAGGAACTGGGGATGTCCAGCCTAGATAAGAGAAGACCCAAGGAGACATCATAGTTGCCATCAAGTGTCTAAAGGATTGTCCTCTGGAAGAGGGATTAGCTTGATCTGCTTGGCCTCAAAGGGAAGAACCAGGAAGAAGGGGTGGAAGGTAGAGAGGGGCAAGTTTAGGATGGATATAAGAAAAGAATTCCTAAGAAGGAGATGGGCTGCTGAGAGAGAGAGAGAGACAGAGAGAGAGAGAGGGGAGAGAGAGAGAGGAGAGCAAGAGAGGAGGTTCCACATGACTGCAGAGCTTTGAGCAAAGATTAGAGGATCACATGCCCAGGATGTTATCAAGGGGCAGGTTGGATTCAAAGGCAGCCGAGGTCCCCATTCTACTCTCAGATTCTGAGGTTCTGTGACTTTTATCTAAATGCCCAGGGTACAAGAGATAGCTAGCAATTCACCCATCCATCCATCCATCCATCCATCCATCCATCCATCCATCCATCCATCTATCCACCCTAGTTCAGGTGTTTATCACTTCTTATGACTGTTTGGATTGTTTCCTAATCATTTTCCCTGGGGCAGCTAAGGAGTTCATTGGCTAGAACACCTGCCCTGGAGTCAGAAAGACTCATCTTCCTGAATTCAAATCTGGCCTCAGACATTTATTAGCTGTGTGACCCTGAGTAAGTCACTTAACCCTGTTTGCCTCAGTTTCCTCATCTGTGAAATAAGCTGGAGAAGGCAATGGCAAACCACTTCAGTATCTTTGCCAAGGACACTCCAAATGAGGTCATGAAGAGTTAGATTTGCCTGAAAATGGCTAAACAACAACAGTTCTCCCTGCATCTAGTCCATCCTTCACACACCTGCTAAGGTGATATTCCTAAAACAGAAATCTGACCATGCTCTTCCCCCGTTCAAGCAGTTCAAGTGGTTTAAGCTACAGTCTCCAGGCTCAAATACATACACCCATGGTTGGCATTTAACACTCTTCTCAACCTGACTCTGGCCTGCCTTTTCAGGGTTATGGCATATTACTCCCTTTCAAGCATGTCGGTCCAGGCAAACAGGCCTCCTTGTACACACAGAATTCCATCTCCCTTCTCCAACTCTATGCACAGGCGGTCAGCCATGTCTGGAATTCACTCACTCCTCACCTCTGCCCCTTAGAATGCCTAGCTTCCTTCAAAGTACAATATTAGTGCCACTTCCTACAAGACACCTTTCCTGAAACCCTTCCTTCTTCCATTCCTCCCACAACTGCCAATGTCTCCTCCACGATTTACCTGCCATTTACTTTGCACATATTTTCTATGTTCTTACATGCATACATATTGTCTTTCCTTATAGGATATAAGTTCCTTAAGAGCAGGGTCTGTTTCCCTTTTATGTTTGTATTTCTAGAACCCAGTATAATATGTGGCACATAATTGGTGTTTAATAAATACTTATTGATTGATTGAGCTGTCCATCCTTTAAAGCATATTATGTACAATACAAGCCTACTATGTGCAATCTACTCCACAAAGTTCAGGAGGGAAGTACAAGGATGAATAAGGTATAGTTCCTGCCTTCATGGAGCTTACCTTCTATGACAGATATAAGCTAGGGACACAGATAAATATTTGTTGTGATCAAGGTTCTTTGTAAATAAATTTGGAATCGAGAAATGCATCATCACCAGACTCAGGAAAGGTGTCCCTGAAGGTCCCATGCTGCTTTGTCTGAGCCATTGAAGAAAGCCAGGGCTTTATTTGGAGGCTATGGACATGTGCTGTGTCTTTCCGGGGAGGCATGTAGTGTTTCTGATAGGAAGATCAATTAATCAATTAGTAACTATTTAATAAGCACCTAGGTGCAAGGTACTGTGCTTGGCATTGGACATACAAAGACAAGAATGTCTTAACACTCCCTGCCCTCATGGAGCTTATATTCTTTTAGGAGATGTGGTAACTTTTTAGTAGGGGTGGAGTGGGTGAGAGGGAAGAAGAACTCTGGCTCTCCGAAAGGGAAAACTGTGGTTTCTCCTGGATAATCCTGCCTTGGCTTGAACCCAGGACTACAGAGTAGTGAGGGTTGGAGGGGCTGGGGGAGGGAGGGACATCTGGAAGTATTAGATGGGAGATCCAAAATTATTTTTGCTAGACCACCAAGCTTTCCTGTAAGGGTCACCCCACCCTCACTCCATAGCTGATTAGGTGAAAATGGGGTAGCTCTGGTGGGGACCCGCTGGCATCTGGCTTATATCTTGTAAGAGGAATCTTCTCATTTATTAATTTATCTCTAAAGAGAGAGGTTTTGTTTTATGAAAAGCTGTGTGTGTGTGTGTGTGTGTGTGTGTGTGTGTGTGTGTGTGTGTGTGTTGGGTTTTAGCTCAGTTTAGAATAAGAAACCGAGAGCTTTGTCCTCCTTGGTGGGAATTACCAGTTCCCTCCTTTCCCGTCCCTTCCCTCAGTTTTAAGTAACCCTGGACCCTTGGAGCTATTGCCAGAGAATTAAAGGCCATTTAATGCTCCCTCTTTAAATAAACCCTGGCAGCTTTTGTTTTTTCCTCTTCTAAAAATAAAAGAATATGAGTCCAGTGGGGAGAGGAGGGAAGGAAGTAGAGGGGCTCAGATATACAAGAAAAGCAGAGCCTGAAGGAGGCCCAGAGACTTAAAATGGGGAGGGGCATCCTAAGGTCCTTGAGCCAGTCTCCTTGCCCTCAGAAAGCATTCTCGACCCAGGCAGAATGGATCAAGGATGGGTTTGAGTTTTAGGAATTTTTGCCTAAAGTCACCAGAGTTGGCATTTAAAGTCATGCGTGGCAGGGTTGGGCATACCTCTGTTCACTTAGGATAGCATGAAGCCCTATCTCCCACGAATCCTTTTCCTTCAGTGCCAGAATCAAACTGTTAGCATTTTAGAGCTTCTCATCCTGGAAAATGGTATCTGGGAAATAACACTGAATTTGGAGGCAGTGGACCTGGGTATGAAGCCTAGCTTGGGCAAGGCTCAGTTTCCTCATCTATAAAAGGAGGGGGTGGACAAGATGATCTGTAATGCGTCTGGCTCTGACATTCTAAAGCCTCTTCTAGTTCTGAAATCCTGTGCTCCTCATGTAGCTGCCAAACCGCTACTCCAAGCCTAGCTCAAGGAGCTCTCAATAACTCCCTCTTGCCTCTATGATCAAACACAAACATCTCTGTCGGGTGTTTAAAGCCCTTTACAACCTTGCTCCACCTTCTCTTCCACATCCCCATGCCCCCCCACCCCTGCCTCATGCATTCTGTACTCTAGCCAAATGGCTCTATTTGCTGTTTCCTCACCTAGAACATTCCACCCACCCTCTCCATGCTCAGCCTCCTCACCTCTGCATCTTGGCACAAGTAACTTCCCTTCAGATCTCAGCTCCAGTGCCCACTCCTCCTTTTCTGGGCCCCTAGCAGCTGGTGCCTTCCTCTCAAAATTACCTTTTATATACTATTTCCTTACTGCCATACTCAGGTCCTTGAGTAGAATGGAAGCCCCATGAGACCAAGGGCTGTCTTATTTTGTAGTCTCAGTGCTGGGCACAGAGTAAGGGGGTGCTTAAATAAAGGCTTACTGATTTTAAGTGAATTAAACATTCTCCAAATGTTGAACAGTGGAGGATTCTCCCTGAGGTCCAGACTTCCCATACATGTGGTGGAGGAGCTGTCCCCCAGCAGGCTTGGCTGAGCAAAGGAACATGTGAGAACTTTCTGACTGGGTGGGGTGCCTTCATTGCTTGCTTGGTGCCAGTCAAGCCACTCCACATACAATGCATGGAATTGTTTCTCCCACTTCCAAACATTTAACAATAGAAAGGCATAATAAACAGAGAGCTGTACAAGTCCTTTGCACATATTTATTATGTATTGCATTTATTAGAGGGGCCACTTCCTTTTTAGTGCCTGGGCCCACTGTCAGGGGCAATAAAAGATCTCATGTAGGAGCTTTTTATATATCAAGGAAGGTGGGGTGGATGGGTGGATGACCTGGCCCAAGGGGTAGTGTGGCAGTAAGGATGCCTGAGTTCTTCCCTCTCTCTCTCTTAAAGGAGCTTTGCCTTTCAGGGTCTTGGTTTCTTCATCCTGAAAATGGGTCTGCTGGTTATCCTCACCTCTTGATCTTTTAAAGGATATGCTGGGAGGAGATTGTAAGGAAACCTTAGAGTAAATAGTTTGAAGGTCTTGGATAAAAGGGTCTTAGGAGAGGGGAAGGGCTAGCTCATTAAAGAGGAGGGGCACCATCTTCTGGGCCAGGAAAACAAGTCATTCCTAAGTTTCCTCTGCTGTATTTTTTTTCCCATTATTCATTGTGGTTTCATTCTTTTTTTTTTTTTTTGCTTTTTTTTTTGGTGAGGCAGTCAGGGTTAAGTGATTTGCCCAGGGTCACGCAGCCAGTTAAGTGTCATGTGTCTGAGGCTGTATTTGAACTCAGATCCTCCTGACTCCAAGGCCAGAGCTCTAGCCACTGCACCACCTAACTGCCCCTTCTCCCCTGTATTTTGACTTCATAGAACAGGTCAGCCATGGCCTAACTCTCCAAAGCTTAGGCTCTATTATGGGGGGGAGGGGGAGGGTAGGGAGAGGGTGGGAAGTGTTTAAAAGGATTATGGAAATCTGTGACAGAATTATAGGATGTCAAAGTGGGCAGGGAACTTTATTACTCATTTGTGTTTTCATTTGATGCCTCTTATTTTTACTCTAGGTAGTTAAATGGTACAGTGGATAGAAGGTGGGGCCTGGAGTCAGAAAGACCTGAATTCAAGTCTGGCCTCAGACACTAGCTATGGGCAAGTCACTCAACCTTGTTTGCCTTAGTTTCTTCATCTATAAAATGAGCTGGAGAAGGAAATGGCAAACCACTCTAGTATCTTTGCCAAGAAAACCCCAAAAGGGATCACAAAGAGTCAGACGTGACTGAATGACGGTTTTGAACTCACATACATTCTGAATATTTTCCTCCCCAACTGCTTTACCTAAAAACCTAAAAAAAAGTTTAGAGTATAGAATGCCAGAGCTAGAAAGGCATCATGGAATGTCAGAGGAGAAGGGTCTTCAGAATTTAGGATGTAGGGCTATAAGGGAACTTTGTAACACATAATGTCAGAGTTGGAAGGGACCTTGAAACAGAATATCCAAACTGGAAGGGGTGTGAGAACACAGAAGACACAATGTCAGAGCTGTAAGGGGCCTTAGAACATAGAATGTTAGAACTGAAAAGGATCTTAGTGTGTAAAACATAGGATATCAGACCATGACAGAGCAGACTGAGCTGGAAAGGGGAGCTAGAACATAGCCCATCAGAAACAAGCCTTAGACCACAGAACACAGAACGTCAGAGTAGGGACCAAGCTTTAGGACATAAACATTTAGACTGTTGGAATTGGGGAGAACTTTAGAATATTGCTTGTCAGAGCTGGGGAATCCCTTAGAATGTAGAATGTCTAGGTTGGGACAGACTCTAGAATATGGAATTTTCAGGGCTGGGGAGCCTCTTAGAACACAGAACATAGCATGTCAAGGTAAGGACAGACTTCAGAAAATAGAACGTAAAATTTCATAGGCAGGACAGATTTCAGAATACAAAATATATACTGTTGGATCTGGGTGGGGCCTTAGGACATAGACTGTCAGAGATGGAGACCTCTTTAGAACATAAGATGTTAGGACTGGAACAGACTTCAGAATATAGGACATGGAATATCAAGGCTAGGACAGACTTCAAAACGTACTATGTAGACCGTTAGAGTTGAGTGGGGCTCTAGAATATAGAATGGCAGGGCTAGAATGAATTTTAGAATACAGAACACAGCAGGGACCATCAGAATTGGGAACAGAACCCAGTATGCTAGACTCTTAGGTCAATGTTCTTCCCACTAGACAATGCTGCCATGTTGAGGGAAGGAAAAAGTATGTAAAATAAGGTAAAACATTTGGGGACCAACCTTTAGAGCTCTTGGGACTTCAATGAGACAGCTGATTCTAAAAGGTCCAAGGAATCCTTGTCTATTTGTATTGCTGGCCAACCTTGACCTAGGAAAGAAAATATTCAGTTACAACAGGAAGTCAATAAAGGGTCATTACACTGTTTATGAAAACCTCCCTTAGCACTAATAAAAAGCTGTGAGCAACTGGAATGGTTCCAGCGGTCCAGGGGCCCATCATTCTAGGCTAGGAGCTGATATCATAGGCCAGGGGCTGAATGAATCACAGCATCTTGTGAAGACTTGGGGCATCACTGCAAAAATGTAACCTACTGGGACATGACTACACCAAATAGACGAGAGGAAGAAGAGGGAGGATTGCAGATGGCAGGGCTCTTGGGTTTCAGAAATGCAAGGATCCAAAGCGAGTCTGAGAAGCTACCTGAGGAGGACAGGTAAAGCCCGAATCCCAGATCAGGGACCAAGAGGGTCTCAGGCATCCGTTTCTTGTCTGTTGGTACAATGAGAGCGGGACTCATATCTTTAGCTTTTAGCAAACCTCTGCATGGCAGCTAGATGGCACAGTGGATAGAGTGCTGGGATTGGAGTCAGGAAGACTCATCTTCCTGAGTTCAAATCAGGCCTAGATCCACACTAGCTGGGTGACCCTGGGCAAGTCACTTAACCGTATTTGCCTCACTTTCCTCATCTGTAAAATGACCTGGAGAAGGAAATGGCAAACCACTCCAGTGTTCTTGCAAGAAAACACCCCAAAATGAAGAGTCAGACAGGACTGAAATGATCTGACAATCAAACCAAAACCAAACCTTTTTGCCTCAGGTAAACTCCCTCTGACTTATCTACTAAACCATAGACTGGTTGTATGATCCCTGTTATTTATTCTATCTAGGACTCCGCAGGGACTTTCTCTATGGGGAGTCCACTGGGCTATGAAACCAGAGACACTTCATGCATTCATATATTGTTACTATTGTGCTGCTTTATAAACAGCTATAGTATAGTGGAAGGAACACTGTATTTGTATCCCTTCTCTGTGGGAGTAATATCGATCTATGCATAACTGACCTCAGGTATTGTTAGGATCAAATGAAACAAGGATGTGAATGCTAACCACTAAAGGACTATTTAAATGCATTGGCCCCGATGATTGTTGAAGGTTTCCCTGGAAGTCCAGTCCAGGAGTCTTTCTCTAGGCTCCCTGAGAAGTTTTTATTCTTCCTTCATTTCCTGGTCTGAGCACAGCTTGTGCCCTCCAGAAGTCTGTCCTCTTGCTCTTTCCACTCATCTTCTGAATTGACCTCTTGTTTTTTTAACTCTGCTCTCACACTAACATCCTCTTCCAGGTCCAGATGCCTGGATTCTCTTTGTTCATCACATAAGGGATGGCAGCACCATCTAGTGCTTTCCACAGCATGGAAGACATGACTTCTTATGCTATTTCCCCAAGTCACAGCCTCCATGAGACACAGCACAGAAGGAAGGGGCATAGAAACTTCACATAGTCAATCCCAAGCCAAGAGGCCAAAGGGAGAGGCAGGCAGTGACTATAAGGGAAGATAAAAGGCAGGAACTCTGGGCAGACTTGGGAGAGACTGAGTTTGTCCACCATATTCCCTCTCAGACTTGTTCCAAACAAACCCCAGGTCTCATTCATTCAACAAACATTTCTTGATACAGTCCTCTGTGAAGAGCACTGTGCCAGACACTAAGGGAGATAAAAAGTTCAGATATGATATGGTTTCTTTATATAACAATAATAATAATAAAGTGCTTTACATATATTATCTCATTAGATCCTCACAAAAACCCCGGTTATTATCTCCATTTTACAAATGAGGAAACTGAGGCAAAGGGTCATAGAGCTAAGGAGCGTCTGAAGCCAGACTTGAACTTAGGTCTTCCTGACTCCAAGTCCAGTGCTGTCCATACTGTGCCACCTAAGCTGTCCACAGTCAAGCAGAGGGACAGGACAAGGACTGATGAATATTAGCACACAGTAAGGTCATTATAGATGTACAGAAGCATTGGGCTTGGAACCAGCAGGGCCCACCTTCATGATTTCAAATCTGGCCTCAGACATTTGCTAGTTATGTGACCCTGGACAAGTTACTTCACCCTGTTTGCCTCAGTTTTCTTATCTGTAAAATGAGCTGAAGAAGGAAATGGCAAACCCCTCCAGTATCTGTGCCAAGAAAACCCCAAATAGGGTCATGAAGAGTTGGACGCGACTGAAACAACTCAACAACACAAATGGACAGTGTACTAGGTTTGAAGGAAGGGAGACTCTGGCTCAGGTTCCAATCTACTGGAATTGCCAAATGTCTATAATGTCACTGTAGTACCCACTTCACTGGGTTGCTGTCAGGCCAGATGAGATAACGTCCCCCAAGGCTCTGTCCTGGGTCCTCTTCTCCTCCCCCTCTATACTGCCTCACTTGGCGATCTCATCGGCTCCCATGGATTCAATTATCATCTCTCTACTGATGAATCTCAAATCTGCTTATCCAGCCCTAATCTCTCCAGTGACCTCCAGTCTTGCATATCCAACTATCTGTTGGACATCTCCAGCCAGATGTTCCATAAACATCTCAAATTCAACACGTCTAAAACTGAACTCATTATCTTTCCTCTCGGGCTCTCTCGTGTCTGTAACTTCTCTCCTACTGCCAAGGGTCCCATCATCCTCCCAGTCACTCAGCCTTACAAGCTAGGTGTCATGCTAGACTCTTCACTCTCTCATCCTCCATATCCAATCAGTTGCCAAACCCCATTGATCCTAATGCCACATTTTTCATTGATTTCCCCTTCAGTCCTCTGACACTGCTACCACTTTTGGTACAGGCCCTCATCACTTCATGCCTAGAATACTGCAATGGCCGCTGGTGGGTCTGCCTGCCTCAGGTCTCTCCCCATGGCAGTTCATTCTCCACTTAGCTGTCAAACTGATTATCCTTTTGCATAGGTCTAACCATCTAACGCCCTTATTCAATGAACTTCAGGGGTTCCCTGTTACCTCCAGGATCAAATATCAAATCCTCCATTTGCATTTTAAAGCCTTTCACAGTGTGGCCCCTTTCTACCTTTCCAGTCTTCTTGACGTACTTCCCCCCTCCCATAGTCTGTAGACCCTCCTTGCTGTTCCCTGCATAGGACAAGCCATCTTCCAGCTCCAAACATTTTCACTGGCTGTCTCCCACACCTAGAACATTTTCCTTCCTCCTCTCCATCCCTTAGCTGCCTTCAGGTCTCAGCTAAAGTCTCACCTTCTCCAAGAAGGCTTTTCTGACCCTCCACAATGTCCATGCCTTCCCTCTGTGCTTATCTCCAGTTTTTCCTATATCTCTAACATCTCTATGTCTTTCTGTGTATATGAATATATGTATACATATCTATGTGGCTTGCATGTCGTCTCCCTCATTAGACTGCGAACCCCTTGAGAGAGAGGACTGATTTTTTTTTTTTGCATTTCTTTTTGTCCCTGGCACTTAGTACAGTATCTGACATTAGTTGTTATACTATTGTTATTATCATTACTTTTGTTAAGAAGCAGTGGCGGGGTGACAGACGGAAAGCTGGACTCAGAACCATGAAGACCCAAGCCTAACCCTAAATGTGTCTCTGACACATAATAGCAGTGTGATCCTGGGTAAGTCACTTAACCTTTCACTGCTCTAGGCAGCTCTCTAAGACTGTAAATTGTGAAGAAATATCAACTTGGTTTGTAGAGGAAATTCCTCACCTCTAAGTTCCCTTTTCCAATAAAGTCACATTAGTACTATTATGATCATTACATGAAATCTGAAGAGAAGGTCATTTCTGACCTGCTACTTAAACGTCAGGAGACCCTGCCTGATTGCGATGCTGGTAAGTCAACAATTTTGATTATCACCTCCAGAGGAGGCTGAACGGATGTTGGAAGCGATGGCTGATCTAATACCGGCATTAAGGCTCAGACCGTGGGAAAACAGGGAGCTCTCCTAGCCTAGGGGACATGAGTAACAAGCTTTTGCTACTCATATCAGACGTCCCACCATCTACAGTCAAACCTAAAGAATGTCAGAGCCAGAAAGGATCGTAGAACGTAGAAGGTCAGACCTGGGAAGGACCTTAGAACATAGAATGTCAGATCTGGGAGGAACCTTAGAACATAGAATATCTGAGTTGGAAGGGAATTTAGAACACAGAATATCAGAGCTAGAAGGTAATTTAGAGGACAGAATATCTGAGTTGGAAGGGAATTTAGAGCAAGGAATATTTGAGTTGGAAGGGAATTTAGAACACAATATCAGAGCTGGAAGGAATTTAGGATACGGAATATCTGAGTTGGAAGGGATCTGAGACCACAGAATGTCAGAGCAGAGAGGAAATCAGAGATCTTCCAGTCCAGGTGCCACAGATTCAAATCCAGGCTCTGTTTGGCCTAGCTGTGCTCCTTTTTCAAGTTACTGAAATTCTTGGGCCATCAGTTGCTCCATCTGTGAAGCGAGGGGTTTGAACTCCACCTCCCTAAGGCCCTGTGGGCTCCATCAATGCTCAGGCCATCCAAGGCCCCAGAGGCGCAAGGCCATGCTCGGGTCACACAGGGAGTTCCCAGAAGGAGCCTTTGACATTTTTATTTATCTCTCCTCCTCCTTTCTTCCCCAGCCTCATCTGTAGGGAGCTGGGGAGGGGAGCTGCAGGAGGGGTCCTTTGATTAAGATGACGCAGCTAAGCTCATAAATCACCTCCTTTTATTTTTTTTCCCCCTCCCAGGTCCCCTGCAGGAGCCTTTTTGCAGAGAGCCAAAGAAAAACAGGCAGGTGGAGCTGGGGATGGGGGAAGGATATATTTGGGGTGAGGGGCTACACTGAAAGGCAGTCAGCTTTTAGTCAAGCCTGGGGAGGTTGAAGAAGCAAGCAGAGAAAAAAAAAATCTCCTGGAGAAATAAGGCCTGAGGAGAGAGCTGCAGCTGGGCCACTCAAGCATCCCATGCTATCCGACTAGTGGGTAAAGAGTAGGACATGGGCAGAAGAGTGATGGTGTTACCCCCAGGCAGGGAGCCTTGCCAGTTGAGAAGCCCGTGTATTATCTTATGAAAGGCAGGCACGT